ATGTTTGTCTTTCTAAGTTTGGCTTACCTCACTCAGGATGGTTTTTTCTAGTGCCATTCATTTGCCTGCAAATTTCAAGATGTCATTGGATTTTTACAGCTGAGTAATACTTCATTGTGTAAATGTATCACATTTTCTTTATCTATTCTTCTGTAACCAGACATTTCAACTTAATACAGCAGTGTGAAGTGGAAAGACCTGGAAGGTAATCAAACTACACAGGGCAAGGAGCCCGAGTCACCTGGGTGACTGGGTAGAATGAAACCGTTTTGCCAATCCACAAGGCAGATGTTGCTGTCAAATCAATTATTCATTAAAAGAATGAACTCTCATATTCCAGCAGACATTCAATGACTTAGACAACTTGGTGAAGCAGGCTGTGCCCAGGGTATACAGAGAAGGTTTCTGCCTCCATGGGAAGTCGTATCTGAGTCCAAGTGGAGTGTGTGACATGGTAACTACAGCGCAGTTTGGCAAGGGCTCTGCACATTGAGACCGAGCCTATTAATATACAAATACCAGAGGAGACCTAACAAGAGAAAAAATAGTTCAGTCTTGTCACTCGACTCTGGGGAAGTAGGTGTAGTTGGCAAGTGTTGAACATAAACCAGGAAATGGGTGGGGTGTAAAGGCAGAGCAGGAAAGGAAATGGGGAACTAAGTAGAGGTAGAAGAAGCTGCCTGTGGAGGAAGCTGACTAGGAAGGTGATTGGCACAGCTACTCAGGGAAGAGACGCCTGAACCAGAACTCAAGAGGATACAGCCAGCAATCTAGTATGAACTCGCTTATAAAAAGTTCTTGTGGGTCTCCACGGTCCGTGCTGAAGAGTGTTGATTCCATGGCCCGTGCTACTGTAGAGGGCTATGTTGATCTCAGTGGCCTGTGTTGCCACCTGAGGCCATGATGATGTCCTTGGCTTATGCTGCCAAGGAGGGCTATGATGGTGTCTGTGGCCTGTGCAATGGCAGACGGCAGTGTTAATGTTTGTGGTCTGTACTGCCACTGGGGACCACGATGAGATACATGACATGTGATGATGCTAGAGACCATGTGGATGTCTGAGGTCCATGCTGTCATCAGAAACCATGTGTATGTCCATGATCTATGCTCATGCTGATGGTAAAGAGCAAAAAAGCAACTTTTGCCATGGTATTAATGACTACAGACTCACAGTTGAGAAGGAGGGACATAGAAGACCTATGACAACCTCTATGGTACCCACACCCCCTAAAATATGTAACAGCCTAGACAGAGAGCCATGGAAGAGGACCCTTGAAAACTGTGATAAGGGTGCTGAAGTGTAGCTCTCCAGAAATGATGGCTTCTGGTAGGGGTGCAGGTGGGAAGGAGCTGGCTCCTGGGAGTTTGGCCTTGCTCCAGTGAGTATATGGAAAACACAAATTGGGCTTGTTTTTCTTCTTTTTTTCTTCTTTTTTTTTTGGAGGGGAGGAGTCACAAGTGTTCAGGGGTAGACCTAGGAATGTTGAGAAGTGAATATACTTGGGCTCACGATGTGAAATTCCCAAATAATTAGTAAAAATATTATGAAACGAAAAGGTTCATGTATAAACCAGGTACCGTGCCATTTTTCTTTAACACATGTGGGTGATATCAAAGACAGCCTGTGTGCCCAGAAGCCAACCGCACCCACTCATCCTCAATTTGCTGACTAAATGAGCCATGTTAGGGCTGGAGAGATGGCTCAGCGGTTAACAGCACTTACTGCTCTTTCAGAGGGCCTGGGTTTGGTTCTCAAAGTCATGGGAAACTCCATTTCCGGATCTGACCCACTCTTCTGGCCTTCTTGGGCACACACGTGGTACATGTACATGCAGTCAAGCACTCATATAATACATAAAATAAATAAACCTAAAAATATTTTAAAAGACCCAAATTAACAGTGGAAAGTAGAAAAAGATTTATTCAGTGTGGCCACATTGGAAAGAAAGACAAGGACATCCAGCATACTCCCTCCTCAAAGTCTATCTTCCAGGTCCTTAAATGAGATTCAAGATTAAATAGCTGGCCAAGGACATACCATCTATTCTGTCCTGATCAAAGTGTGGTCCCGCCCACCCACGCCATTGCCTGGGCTCTACTCTCATCCTGTAAAGTGGTCTGTCAGGTTGTTAGAACTGCGAGAAACGTCTTTCTGGGGAGTCAAGTCACCACCCTGCCTAGGGCCTTTGCTTTCCCTGAGAATAAGATTCCTGGAGAAAACCCCTATCTTCAGGCTGCATTGTTTCAGTAGTTTGTTAGATTCAGGGACACAAATGTACCCTTTCAACATCTTTTTCTTTCTGCCAGGCTTGTCACATGGGGACTTGTGGTCCTCCTAACAGTAATACTGAGATAAATGAGGAAACCAAGATGCATGAAAAGAAGAACCTGAGTGTTGATAGCTTTATCTGCATCAGGTGCTGTCAGCAAAGAACCTTGTGAGCCTGTGCTGCAACCTTCCTGTGGGCCTCCAGTTGGTCATAAAAAGGCAGCAAGTGCCCTCTACCGTTGACTCAGAGAAAGACAGCTCTCACTTCAGGGTGTGAGCTGTGGGGAATGGTGGAGTTGAGCCAGCCAACTTCAGGGAGTGAGACTAGAATCTTTGTAAACTGGATAGAGTGTTATTGGATGTCACACTCAAGCTTGCTCCTGGGTTCACGAATGCTCCCCCACCCCACAAATCAACAGACTTAAGACTGTGGACCCTATTACTTTCATCCTGGGGCTAATGTTGTGGAAACTGCTTTGGGTTTCAGAAATAAACATTTTTTCTTCTAGCTCTTCAAAATTTTAGACTGTTATAATGTTAAAAAGACCATTTAAAGAAACATTATATATAAATGCAATTTCAGCTTATGGGTCAATGCTTAAAATACAGATACATTCAAAGAATAGAATGGTGAACACTTTTTACTCAGCAGCCAGACAAAGACACTACATGTATCTTGCGGCATTTACTGCCAGGCTTTAATTTTTGCTTTGGACACGGATGTGATTGTGTGTGTTAAATGCCATGGTATTTTATATGACCTTGATATTGTCCAGAATTTTTTCCTTCACAATCATTCTTGTTTGATAATGGTACGATCTCACATTTAGATAAGAATAACTAATCATTATCTGTTGGGGATGATGCGTCAGCCACATCCTTTCCTGTTGAATGTAATGCTGACACATGTACAAAAATGGCTGGTTCCCAGTGGAATCCAGCAGATAAGCAAAGTGTATATTTTTGTGTGTGCTCTTGGGTATTTTATATAGGGTTTCTCCCATGCTAGTCACATGGTAGACTACTAAACTATACTCCCAAATATGTTTTTCTACTTAATTTGAGACTGGCCCTAATGACTTTATAATCCCAGATGAATCTACAATCCATTGTAATCCTTCTGCCTCAGTCTTCCAAAGTATAAAGAATTTGACTGATTTTTCTCAACTCTCAGGCTCTTTGAAAGCTAGTGTTCTGACTAGTATCTAACTCAAGGTCATATACCAAGGTTATAACTCAAGGACAGTATCAAGATCATAGAAAACATCATGGTATGTAACTCACATAATCACATCTGTGTACAAAGCAAAAATAAAAACCTGTCCCTTTAACAGTGACTACTCTTAGAAACATCAATGACCTTTTCCATCATGGCTATGAGCCATAATTTGCAGTCATCTCACATGAGTGCACACGTTATGGACCCAATTGATGTCATTCTCTCTGCCAGCCGCCCAACTTGCAAATCCTTGGCAATCGGGTTTTGTTTCCCAAGTATCCCTGAACACTTTGTAAATATGGAGCACATGTACACAACATGGGTACTACGTGTCTCCTGTTACACACATCCCAGGGATCACTGTAACCCTTCTGAAAATTTTCCTTGCCTTCTGCGGTCAGTTCCATGATCACAGATCTTCTGACCATCAGGGAAATCTGAAAGAGGGTCATTAGGGTAAACCAAAGCCAAGAGCCATAGATCTTGGTCCAGCAATTCAGAGATGTGATTTATTGGCAACCTTTAGTAATTAACGCCTCACGCCAGGTATCTGGAATATGAACTAGATACTTTTCAACACTCCCTTGCTCCATCCAATAGTTTAAGTTATAGTAACCGGCCTGCACTCAACTTTATATTGTTGTCTTATCTGTACCAATATGTCTTCTGAAACCTGTTTACACTTTTTCTCCCCCCTTTTCTTTTGATGCATTTTCTCTTAAGTGTTATTTGGGGAAGTAAAATATACAATGATAATGTGTATAAATGTGAGAAAAATGAGAGGGGCATGGGAGAGGGAGAAAGACAGGGGGGCAGGGAAAAGAACGTTTTCATGGGAAGGGCATGGGGACCATTTTCCTTCTTAGGGCAGGCACCATCTTCACGGGGCACCATCAGGTCAAAAAGGACTGACTGAGGCAATGCAGAGTGTATGTTACATGATTTTAAAGACCTAACCGAGCTGAAACGTGTCTGAATGTTTGTGTGAAGGATTCTTCCCTTGTGTGTATTTGGCAGACATGTTTGATGTTGGAGTCTGTTTCTGTGTTTGGCAGTATGGATGTCAGAGAGAGAAGACAAAGAACAAATAAGCAGACTGAAGCACACAGCACTGCTTCGTTGAAATAGTTTTAAGAGAATCAATTCAACAGAACAAGGACAATTTTGAGGCAAAGGCTTCAGAGTCAGTGATGAGATGGAGCAGGAACCATGCACCTTTGGATGGGAACCACCCAGGGAAAGAAGAAAATCCTGAAATAGCTGTGGTTTTCCAAAGTAATAAACACTGAGTAGCCTTGAATATTTCTGTACCAATGTGTCTGTCTTGTTTGTATAAAAACTACATGCACATGCACACACACACAGAATCCCACCCCATACACACACTCAGAAATTGGGCATCTTTTAGCTATAGACCTCCGGAGTAGTTTTTGCTGTGCTATTCCTGCTTGCTTGATACTGAAAAAGTAATGTTAATTCGATAAAGCATTGACATACACACACAGTCAGGAGTGGAGTTTTAAAAGGTATTTATTGGAGAAGAACACTGAAAATTCACTTGTCCCACACCCCATTCTCCTTCAGTTGAATCCTGAGCCATAGGGAGATTAGCCATTCAAGGAGACTTTGGACCATGTCGAGAGGCTCAGGAACCCCAGAGAATGAGTGTGAGAGACATCTCTTTAGATGGTGCAAAGAAGGAGGGATGAAGACCAAGGCACATCATGTGAAGTACGGGGAATTGGACACATAAGCAGAATGGATGGAAAGGGACCTTGGCATCCAGAGATCAGGTCTTCATGGCGTGGCTGTGGACGACGTTACTTCTGTTTTGTCTTTTGCTGGTACGGTTCTGGAGTGACATTTGAGGGGCATGGCTCAGGAACAACCGGGTGGCAAGGCTCAGGTGCCTTGGGGTGGCAGGGCTCAGGTGCCTTAGGCTGGCAAGGCTCAGGTGCCTTGGGGTGGCAGGGCTCAGGTGCCTTGGGGTGGCAGGGCTCAGGTGCCTTGGGCTGGCAGGGCTCAGGCGCCTTGGGCTGGCAGGGCTCTGGAACCTTAGGCTGGCTGGGCTCAGGCACCTTGGGCTGGCAGGGCTCTGGAACCTTGGGGTTGCAGGGTTCAGGAACATTGGGGTTGCAAGGCTCCTTGGTTTTGGGGGCACACGGTTCCGAGGGTGGTGGCTGGCAAGGCTGTTTCACCTGATGCTGTTGCAGCTGAGGGGGTGCACTGCACGGCTGCTTCTGCTGGTGGGAACTCATGTTTAGATAGCACTTGATCCTGGAAACAGAGAAGCAGACTTAGTAAATCGTTGAAACAGAAGGTAACTTCAAGTCAAGTAAATTTCATTGCAGGCCCTTTTAAAGGAAAGAGCCCCTTTCCATGGTGCCTTCTACGTTTGAAAGAAAAACATGAGGTCATAATTTCTGAACCTTTTCAAGAGAAAGAGCCAAAGGATGGTTTGCTCTGGTCCATCTCAGTGGGTTCCTTTCTACTTTCATTCTCCCTGGTCACGTTATACACCTAACTGAAGATGTTCCAAGACAAGAGTGAAAAGAGCCAAGCAGAATGACATATGCCTATGAAATCTCACACGAAAACCTATGCCTTTAGACTAACCAAAAGCATTAATAATAAAAGAAAAAGCACTAAAATGTTTCAAAAAAATAGCTGGCTTCTGAGAGGGTTGTGTATTCACACCAGGACTTTTGGAAAACAACCTCTTTGTGAACTAAATCACAGCATGACTTGCAGGGCGCCTGCCTATCAGTCCACACTTGTGTGGTTTTGCCTTTTCTAGTCCAGGCTTTCGCAGTTTCCTGTTGATTTTCCTATTTCCATGTCTGTTTCCCAAATACTCTTCTATCATAGTTCGCAGTAGGACCACCACTTGGGGTGATCTTTGAGCCGCACATCCTCCGGGACGTCCCCTTTCCACATCTCTCCTGGCACTAGCACTGTCTATGCCTGGCATCTCAATTCCACACGTGTCACCTTCTCTGTCAGACTAGAAGTTTGCTAAGCTCCATACGGACCAGAAAACATGCTTGGCAGGTCCACTGAATGTATTAAATTTGTATATTGAGCTCCCTCCCAGTGAGAGCTGCAATAGCGCTGAAAGCTCTCTGGGCTGAAGCCTTAGCCTGTGTCCTACTGTGATCTTTGGTGAACATCTCGACGTGGATCCTTCCTTCCCCTGCCCTGATCTCTGATTCCACGGCTGTCTACCTATCAAGGTGGCTGTCTGAACCATCTCCCTTCAGACCCCAGCTGTGCTATAGTTTGAGCAAGAAATTCTAATGTTCTCTAACTCTAGATAGCACCCCACATCAACCCTGTTACAGACATTGGCTTTGTATAGTTTCCCTTAGTGAAAAATAGGCAAGAATTTCAAACCCATTGCAAGCAGAGACTCACCTAATGTGCAGAGAAGAGCAGGCTCTCTGTTAAGCGTGGATCTTGTGTGAAGGCAATGGCCAGTTGGGTTTTTATAAGAAGGGACATCTCCAGGAAACAGACTTGCCCTAGCTGCTCTGTTTTCATTTCTTACCAGTCACCCATGACTCACCCTCCTCCCGTAGTTCACCCTCTGACTCAGCTTTTGTGATGGAAACCACCCAGCTGGTATAATGACACCGACGGTCTGACAATGATGTCATCTGGGTTCCCTGTCACCCTCCTCCTCAGGCCCAGGTGTCATGCTTGTGTTGGGAGAGGGTTAATGAGCTGACCTGGAGGAGGTCTGTAGTGGTCCCAACACCTGCTGTCTTCCTTAGATGGCCAGTCCTTGTATTCTGCTTGGCAGACTACTGTGTGCATGTCAACAAGCACAGAGGGGAGGAACATGGGAGCAGGATGGGTGGGGCTGGAATACAGAAGTAATCGATTATAAACGCTGCAAACTGCGTGGATGGATCAGAACTTGGTGTATATTCCTTACATCTCCCACCTCCACGGAACTCTACACTTTAAAAATTATTTGTTTATCACCCCCCCAACCGCACCCCTTTCTGACTGGTCCCTAACCTGGGAAAACTTGATTTCCTTCCTCACCACGCCTTCCCCCTCTCCCCACAGCCTGGTTCTGAAGTTTCAGCTGCTAAAGCTGGCCAGTTTTCCAGGGTAGCCTTTCTTCCCACTCCACCCAGCCAGCTGCCGGTGGCGGCTTCCCCTTTCCTTGCCCTGCTGACTTCTTCCCCATACCTGAAAATCTGGAAGCCTTTGTAATCACCTTCATCTTAGGGCCAACAGCGGAGGTTTGAATGGCTCTGTGGGGAGCCAGAAATGGGCTTGACTTGTAGGGAACCCCCACTGTAACCAAGATGAACATGTGAAGTAGGAATAAGGCTGCTAGATACGTACAAGGCTCTGCAGATAAACCATAGGTATTTCTAGATCTGTAAAAGCCCTGGAGGGCAATGAATTGGAATAGGGAGAAATAAGATACCCAAATAGCTCAGAGACTTTCTTAGGCCAGCAGCCCCCGTGGTTAAAAGCGATGTAGTGTCTCTCTCAAAGGGGTTCCACATTTACCATGGAAAGTGCCTTCATCTGCAGAGAGCTCCTTTGACAGAAATGACACTCTGTTGATATTTGTTACATGAAGAAGAAGCACATATTATCACAAGAACAGCATTAGTTTGAACAGGCACAGAACTGGTCCTCGAGAGCCCTCAGGGGTACTGGTTCAAAGGGGGCAGGAAAACCCTATAGCCTATGAAGCTTCCAGTCAGTCGGAGTTTGAGAGAGGAAGGAAAGGATCGTGAGGCTAAAACAACAGTTTTGGATTTATTCATTTATTTCGTATGAGCATTTTGACTGCATGTATGCACATACATGAAATACATAAAGGGCCCTTGGAGGTCAGAAGGTGGTAACCTCCACCGAACTTGAGTTAGGGATGGTTATGGCTGATTACATAGGTGCTGGAAACTAAACTAACTCGTGTCTTCTGCAAGAACAGCAATGTTCTTGATCATTGAGTCATCTCTCTAGCTCCTAAAAAGACTATTTTTAATTTAGTAGATTTTACTCTGGAGGAGGTTTTAAGATAGTACAGGGCGTGGCTAGGGTGAGACACATCTGAACATGTGCCACACAGCGTGTTTTCTTCACGCTGGCTGTTTTCTGGGGATTTGCCCTGTCAAGAGACCTGTGTGTTCTGAGGGCATATGAAGAAGCATTCCCTTAGCCCTGGCACCAGCAATGTTTTCTGACCAACATAACATGAGACTGATGTCACTGACTCAGGACCACATTCCAAACACTATCTGTTAAAGGGTGTGACCTTTGGAGCATCCAAATGATCTTAAAACACGTGTGTAGATGGTGCCTCTTCTTCATCCCACACTTCTCTTTCTTCCCCTCCACAAACAAACACCCAAATGTTTTTAGGGCACTTGCTGGATGCACAGCTAGATCACCTCTTGTGAACTTGAGTCAAGACCATCCTTATACTCTGTTTCAATAGCCACTGGCTCTCATTCATGGGAACTTGCTGCCTGGTGTATCACATCTGCATAGTAGTTGGAAATTGTAGAACTGAAGCATGAATGAATGAACAAATGAAGGATGGAAGGAAAGAAGGACATTTTTTTCTGAACAGTGTTTGAAGACTTCTTTAAATTTGTTTTCACTTTTATTTATCTTATTTTATGTGTGTTAAAGCTTTTCTAGCATATATGTATGTGCACCATGTGTTTACCTGATGCCCACATAGGTCAGAAGACTGTGCTGAATCCTTTGGAATGGGAGTGAAGTTGTGAACCACCATATGGGTGCCACAAACCAAACCCAGGTCATCTGCAAGAGTAGCATGTGCTCTTAATCTTTGAGCCATTGCTCCAGACGAGTCTTCATCAACAGTGTCTAGGACATCCCATATAAGAGAGCACCCCATTGTGATGGATCTTCCAGGATGATCTGAGGAGAGGTTATGGGGATTCAGCAAAGCACAAATGATGTTTCTGATGCCTTCCTCTTCCCTCTACTCCATTGTTACCTAGTGTTATCACCAACCTGAACCTCTGTGGGCTGTGGCAGAGTCACCACCACACCTGAACCTCAAGCCTCTTTCTTCACTTCAGCCTGCTTTAGTTGGGTTTAGATCTGTTTCTCTCTTGGCCTCTGTGATTGTGTTAGCTCCCTTACTCATTTTTACCCAACTTTCAGGTTTACCTTTTGTCAACTCTATCTCAAATTATTAGGTAGTGACAATGGCTACATAATCTTTGCTTTATAAGAGCAGGCTAAAGTCATTGTTAATCATCCCTTGACCTGAACATGCCCTGGCTAAAGAAACAGAGGCAGGGAAATCATCCAGTTCCCAGAAGTTCACAAAGATGAGTTGTGCTGTGCTCCAGTCCCTTGACAACTATGTGCAGTGCTATGGAAAGTCTTCCAAGATGCTCGCTCGGCCCAGGTCATGACCTGGCCAGAGATGGGATCCTCTGTATGGATGATGAAAAGATACAGAGAACTACATAGAACATTGGAAGCTGAGATGGTTCAGACTGATGCACTCTTCCTCATAGCCTTCATCACCCCACGGATGGTTGAAGGGCAAGCACAAGGCTAAAAGTTTTCTGTCGAGAGTATCTGTCATTAAGCAATTGTGAGAGCTCAGCAGGGTTTGCATGGCTACTGCTCCTTTCTCAACCTGTGAGGTTGTGCTTGCTCAGCAATTTCCCGCAGGGCACCCTCTGTAGACCACAAGTCTGAAATCCAGACTCTGTGCCTTACTAGCTATGTTTGTGAGGTTGGAGAGTTTCTGAATAATAACTGTCACCATTATCTTGCCCTGGAACCCACAACAGCAGTGAAAGAAACAGAATGGCAGCTGAGGCACGGAGTCTCTCAAGACGCTGGGAGCAGTTAATCAGGTGGCAGACAAGGTGCAAACCCAGCACTGTGAGACTGAGGCCCCGGAGATCTGGCTTACCTTCCCGTGTCTTAGGAATGATAACACCTACCTTCAGAACTGTCATTACGTGAGATTACACATACAAAGTGACTCTGGTGACTAGCGCTCTGCAGTGGACGGTAGATAGCAAGTGTATTTTTCTTAAGGGTTTGAACCACAGCTATTATTAGAAACCCATTTCCAGTGACTCAGAAAATTCTTTCATTTTCTTCATTTTTGAAGCGGTCACTCATTTGTTGAACACATAGTTGCCGAATGACGGTCCGATGGCAATCCTGAGCTCCCAGCTTTGTGAAATCTGGTGGAGAAGCCGGCGACACTCTATGCACTTCTGGGACCTATGTCA